GACGGACGGACGGACGGACACGAGAGCGGTTGCATAAGCCCGCTTTAATGCTTTTTTAAAAGCAGAAGGGCGGGCTAAAAAATGGTGGAAAGGGAAGTCCTGCTGCCTGTGAGAGAGGCATCAGACTTCCCAATGTGTTCTCCATCCATATCTATGAAAATGGTAGAAGACACTCCAGAAATTCTGGAATCTCCTGGTTCCCCCAAAGAATCTACAAGCACTTCATGGCTGTGGGGTGAAGAGGAAGGCACCATGACCCCAGGCCAATATATGAGCTTGCCCAGCAATTCCAAATTCAGGAAGAACGTGAAAAAGACTTTGATTTCTTGCCACCGAAAATAAGGCAACATTATGCCAGCCAAGCATTCATACCACCAAGGATAACAAGAGAGTTTCTGTCAAGTGATAGTGAGAGCGAGCAGGAAGAAAGCGCTAGTGTAATAGCAAAGCAAATGGTAGCAGGAATGACACTATCAGACTCTGACACGGAAGAGAAGGTAGAAGAGAAAAGAGAAATAGAAAAAGAGATGGAAGAACTAGAAGCGGAGATAAACAAGGTAGATGTGGAAATGGGAGAAGTAGTAGGCATGGAAATAGACAGTAAAATAGAAGAGATAGAGAACAAGATGAGAGAGGAAGAAGAAGCAATCAGAGAACTGGAGAAGAAGTTAAAAGAAAAGCAATCAAACAAAGAAATCATTTGTGGAGGATTAAAGCTAGACATGCCTTGGCAACTGAAACCACTTACCTTGGAAGACAAGCCCACTGGTAGCAGACAAGAATGGCTTGATCAGATTTACAAGAACAAAGCTCTGACTCTTAACGTCAGAATGTGTTAAGTGCCAAGTTAATTATTCTTTAAGTTGTCAAAAGACTGTAAATCGTTCCTGTTCCTAAGTGCAATCAAATCATTCCGCTACTTGTGATAAATTGTGTTGTTGTGCCAAGCAAAATGCTGTAATAAAAAAGTGTTCATGCTCAAGTTTGTAATAAAACCAATGAAAATATAAGGGAGTTTCAATCCAAACACCAAAGGTCAGATACAAGAATTTATTATGAAAATAAATAAATCAAAGGACAAAGTCACAAAGTCCTATAAAGGCACATGAGCCCGCAGATCCAAGAAAGGGGCATAATTAAACTAAAAGTCAATGGCAGGATAGCACAACCCAGTTGAAGGACAAAATTACAAAGTCCTATAAAGGCATATGAGCCCGCAGATCCAAGAAAAGGGGCATAATTAAACTAAAAGTCAATGGCAGGATAAGAGCACAGCCAAATTGAAGGACGAAATTACAAATTAAAATAAAGCGGAACACAATCCATAAGTCCACAAGTTAAAAACACAATCCATCAACTTAAAACAAAGAATCAATAACCTAAAAGGAAGTATCACATCTGGAAAAGAAAAGAAAGTCTTAACGAAAGAACAGAAGTGGAAAACCAAAACCAGAGAAAAACAGGCAAAAGAAAAGAAACTAACCTAACTCCTCGCGAGTGGTTTGGCCGTCCCCATGGTCAGGACCTGGATCTGCGAAGCGGATGAGTTCAGTCTGCAGAAGGAAAAATAAACAAACAATGAAAACAAAACAAGCAACAAGAACATCAACAACTAGAGAAGGGAGGAACAAGAGAACGCACAAAGGGCCACCCTAAACAGCGCGCGCAAATGTACGGACTGTGATCGCCATACAAATCCTCCAGATTGAACTTTATCCGTTTAAAAGCATAATCGCCAGTCAAAATAAATTCGGATTCAGCAAAAGGCGCACAAGCAGCGCAAAGAATGACATCCTCCCCGGCTTTCATAGCACAATGATAATGCACAAAGACGACTACGGACATTGTAACGGTCGCGAACACAGAGCGCACAGAAAAACCGTTAAGTTTGAAAGAAAACTCACCTTGTTCGTCCTCGCTGACGAGGTCGATGAGATCTATCGCCCCATCCTCCACATCTTGGGCAATCTCAGCTAGATCCAGTTGATTCAAAAAAGCTAAGGGTGCAGGACCCACCGGTTCAGGGTAAATGACACCGGGTGGTGGAAGTTGAGGGATCTCAGCCAGCGCGGGCAAGCCGCCAGGGCTATACTGTTCCAGAACAATCTGTTCGGAAAATGAATAAAATAAAATACCGAACTCTTCCGAATTTACACAAAACACATAAAGCACAGACGCGAAGCTTACGTAACACTTCTCCAAGCAGCAGCCGCAGAAATAGAAGCGGTTATCATCCAACAAAAAATTTTGGAAAGTGCCAACAAATTGAATCAGGGAGGGCGATGCAACAACCCAATGAGGATTTAACATGGTGGCCTGGATACATTCAAGGCAGATCTGAAAGAACACGGGGATTTAGGGCCGAGAGAAAAACGCCCAGGGAACGCTCAGCAGGGACGCCGGCCGCACAATTTGAAAAATCAGAAAATACGGCTAAAATACTCAATTTTCTTCTAGTCATGTCCACGAGATTATATCCCCAGAAATGTTGAACGAGGCAACGTGTGGTCATGGTGAAATAAAAGATTGGAAATCAAAGAAACTTGAAAAATGACCGGAGGGCGACAGAGCGGCTCAAACCAGGAGACAGCAAGATGGCGAAGTGACCGTTGGTGGGATTGCCGCCAAAGCGCAGCGTCCCCACGGAAGGAGGGGAAAAGGAAGGAGTGGGGGTAACCCACTGCGCATGAGCGGCGCGCGCAGCCGAGTATGAGAATAAAAGAGGAACGCTGCCAGAACACTCTGAGCAGTCAGAGAGAGAGAACGGCTAGCAGAACAGCACTAGCCGAGAAATAAAGTTCTAAACCACCCTGGGTAAAAAAACCATGGGGCTGTCCATGAGCCATGGACATAAATTTAACCATGGATTTTTCTGACCAT